TCTGATATAAATGTCTCCAACTCCCACAACCCCCGAGTTCTTTTTTCCACCCTGAATGTAGTTCTATACCTCAGTGAACCTTCACCTCTGGAAGCCTCAACTGAACTCTGTGAGAACTTCCACCATTTCTTCTTAGAAAAAGTTGCTAAGACCTGGGTACTCATTTCCCCAACAGCTCATGATCCTTCCATCCCATCTCAATGTGCAGCTGTATTTGACCACTTTGAGACCATCTCATCGTCTTCTCTGGAGCAGGTAATGCGCAGAGGCACACACTCTATTCAACCTCTTCTTGACTGCCTGGCTGACATCTGGGACTGGATGGCTTTAAACTTCTTAAGTTTCAACGAGAAGAAGTCTGAAGTCATCTTGTTCCATCCCAATGGCACGTCCATGAACCACTACATTGACCTTTCCTCTCTAGCTCCGTTAGAGAAACAAAGAGTCACCAATTTGGAAGTGATAATGGACCCTTCCTTAAAACTTAGTCATGTAAACATGATTGTTAAATCCTGTTTTTTTCAGCTGAGATGGCTGTCCAAGCTGAAGCCCATTTGTCCAAAAAGAATCTTGAGACAGTGATCCATGCGTTCATAACATTCAGGCTCGATTACTGCAATGCGCTTCTGTTTGGAATCAATCAATCCTCCATTGCAAGTCTACAACTGGTCCAAAATGCTGCAGCCCGATTTTTAACTGGTACTGGCCATAGAGAGCTCATTACTCCAGTTTTGGCCTCCCTGCACTGGCTATCCATTCACCTTCAGATTCAGTTCAAAATACTCATGTATGTTTTTAAATCACTAACCAGTTCTGCCCCATCCTATCTCAATGATCTTCTACAGCCATCTTTCCCACCGCACACTCTGAGGTCAGCAGACCAGAGGCGCCGTTCAGTTCCAGAAACCCATCGCAAGCTCAGAGGTGACGGGGCTTTCTCTGTTGCAGGTCCAAGACTGTGGAATGAGTTGCCACTGGTTATCAGGCAGGATCCCACAGCACAGTCTTTAAATTTGGCCTGAAAACCCACTTTTATTCCCTTGCCTTTGACACGGTGTGATTTGTTTAGATCCTGTCTGTAGTCTACAGTGTTGGCCATTTAGTTATTATCCACTGCTATTTGTATCTTTATTTTTATGTTTTCCTGTCTGCTGTGCTTGTTTGTTTCTATTGTACAGCACTTTGGTTGGCCTTGTTGCTGTTTTAAGTGCTCTATAAATAAATTGGTATGGTATGGTACAACAGCATTATAAGAGGTGGACAGTTGAACACGGAGGCGTCCGCTCCTGTTTAATGATGGACGGTTTCCTTTCACAAAGATGGCCTCCTTTACTCCTCTCTCAAACCATCGTTCCTCTCTATCAAGGATGTGAACATCTTCATCCCTGAAAGAGTGACCGCTGGCCTGGAGATGAGTGTAGAGCTCAGAGTCCTGGCCTGATGATGTTGTTCTTCTGTGCTGGGCCATCCTTTTGGCCAGTGGCTGTTTAGTTTCCCCGATGTAAGACTGATCACCCTCCTGACACTGAACAGCATACACAATATTACTCTGTTTGTGCCGGGGGACTGGATCTTTGGGATGAACCAGTCTTTGCCATAATGTACACTGCCTGGCCAAAAAAATTGTTGCCACCTGGATTTAACTAAGCAAATAGGTACGAGCCTCCTATTGGATAATTACTAGATGGGTGATTATCTTTCAGCTGGCAACAAGTTATTTAACCCCAACTGGTGCAATGAGTTGCTTCTCATTTCTTAAACCTTGTCGAAAGACTCATAGCTTGTCGAAAGACTCATAGCTTGGGCGTGGAAAAGATGTACGTCTGTTTGAGAAGGGTCAAATCACTGACATGCATCAAGCAGAGAAAACATCTAAGGAGATTGCAGAAACTACTAAAATTGGGTTAAGAACTGTCCAACGCATTATTAAAAACTGGAAGGATAGTGGGGACCAAACGTCTTCGAGGAAGAAATGTGGCCGGAAAAAATCCTGAATGATTGTGATCGGCATCAATTAAAACGTTTGGTGGAAACAAATCGAAGAAAAACAACAGTATCACTCAGGGCTATGTTTATTAGTGAAAGTAAGAGCATTTCTACATGCACAATGCCAAGGGAACTCAAGGGATTGGGACTGAAGAGCTGTGTAGCCTTAAGAAAACCACTAATCTGTGAGGCTAACTGGAATAAAAGGCTTCAATTTGCTAGGGAGCATAAAGATTGGACTGTGGAGCAATGGAAGAAGGTCATGTGGTCTGATGAGTCCAGATTTAACCTGTTCCAGAGTGATGGGTGCATCAGGGTAAGAACAGAGGTAGGTGAAGTGATGCACCCATCATGCTTAGTGCCTAGTCATCAATGCAAGATCTTGGTGAAAAATTAATGCAACACTGGATGGAAATAGATCTTGTGATATTGCAGAAGCTTATCGAAACAATGCCACAGCGAATGCATGCCGTAATCAAAGCTAAAGGCAGTCTAACGAAATATTAGTTTGTGACCTTTTTTTGGTGGCGACGTTTATTTTTTTGGCCAGGCAGTGTATTTTGGGGTTTAAAAGCCACTGGGACATTATGTTTAGAAAATAAACGTCTCAGTTTCTCTGAAACTCCCACAACATACAGAATGACCACTGGTCTGGGTCTGGGTTCCTCCTTTTCACCTGATGGCTGACTGGAGTCCTGTTTGGGTTTATTCTCTGCTTTCAGGAAGGCCCAGTTAGGATATCCACATTGCTCTAGAGCAGACCTGGGCATTGTACGGCCGCAGGGCCACATGCGGCCCTTTGGTTGACTCTGACCGGCCCCCGTAAGGGGAATTACAAAATACATATGTAAACAAATGAAGTTAACCAAATCCAGATATAGATCCTCTCTCACTGATGATGTCAGCTTTGCTTCACATCTCCACCTCAGACCTTCAACCTGACTTTAACATTTCCGTTAAAGCCCAACAGAGATTAAACTTCTCTCACTAAACAAGAAAAAATAACTGAAAAACACCAAATGAGATGCCAGTGGCTGTTTTGTTTCCCCGATGTAAGACTGATCACCCTCCTGACACTGAACAGCATACACAACATTGCTCTGTTTGTGCCGGGGGACTGGATCTTTGGGATGAACCAGTCTTTGCCGTAATGTATTTTGGGGTTTAAAAGCCACTGGGACGTTATGTTTAGAAAATAAACGTCTCAGTTTCTCTGATACTCCCTCAACAAACGGAATGACCACTGGTCTGGGTCTGGGTTCCTCCTTTTCACCTGATGGCTGACTGGAGTCCTGTTTGGGTTTCTTCTCTGCTTTCAGGAAGGCCCAGTTAGGATATCCACATTGCTCTAGAGCCTGTCTTGTGTAGGATTTCTCCTTCTGCCTGGCTCCTGAGTTAGTGGAGACACTGTCTGCTCTGTGGTACAGAATCCTGATGACTCCTAACTTGTGCTCCAAAGGGTGATGGGAGTCAAACTGCAAATACTGGTCTGTGTGGGTGGGTTTGCGGTACACCTCGGTTTGAAAATGTCCTCTATCAGAGACTGAGACCTCACAGTCCAAGAAAGCCAACCTGCCATTTTTTACATCTTCTCGTGTGAACTTGATGTATTTATCCACAGAGTTAATGTGGTCAGTAAAATGTTGGACTTCCTGAGATTTAATTTTAACCCAAGTGTCGTCAACATACCTGAACCAATGACTTGGTGGTGTCCCTGAAAAGGACGTCAAGGCTCTCTTTTCTACCTCCTCCATGTACAGGTTGGCAACAATAGGAGAAACTGGAGACTCCATAGCACACATAGTAAACATTAAATGTGAACATAGCTACTGAGGAAGTATTTCGGATGAAAGACGAAACATTTTTACAATTTTTTTTTCTGAACCCATCCAGAGGAGCAGACTTAACTTTTTTAGATACAGAGTAGTCCCTCACCATTTTGCGGTTCGACTTTCGCTGACTCACTCTTTCATGGTTTTTCAATGATCATCAACTTTAATATTACTCACATCACTGGGACGTATGGGATAAAAAGTTAATGAAAAAAATGCTTCAGACATTTTGTATTTTTGTTTCAATAAGCCTACAATGTAACCCCAGTCAAAAGAACTATACTGGGTAGTGTAGTTCTTTTGACTGGGGTTACAGAAGCCAACAGTGCTTTTGGCTGCTGCTTTCTGCCGAAATGGAGGGAATATTTTGCAACGCAAAGTCAGAAGTAACGATCTATCTATTAAGTTCATAGAACTGGCAGGAAAGTCGCAGATAATTCTGAAGCTTCCTGAAGCTCAATTATCTATGTGCACATAAAACTGGATGGGGTAGTGGGCTTTGTCGCTGCAGGGTAGGTCTGCTGAACTGGAACAGAGCTGCTGTTCTGCACAGCTGGTGAGTAAAAATTTGCAGTACTGTACAGTACATATACGTATGTTGTGAAAATTTTTCATTCATTCAACCTTTATTTATACAGTTTAGTCCCATTGAGCCTCGGGGACTCATTTACAAGAGAGACCTGATTTTTAAACAAAGAGTGATAATAACAGTGGACAACAACGACAACAATAGGCAATCAAAGGATGCCTACAAATTTATTTATTTATTAACAAATTAAAATGGTAATTAAAAGGATAATTAAAAGGAAAAGTAGCAAAAACACAGGTAGACTGTAAGGCGGTGTAAAATACTAAAAACAGGAACATGTCTGCATTGGTTTAATTACGCAGGTTTAAGAGTTTAGAACAATGCAAGAGTGTGGGAAGGGTTTATAAAGCTTTAAAATATATATATAGTATATACTAAAATAAATATAGTGTTCCTACTTCGCGTTTTTTCACCTATTGCAGCGGTGTGTAGAACGTAACCCCCGTGATAATCGAGGGACTACTGTATGTGTGTGTGTTATGTTGTGTGTGTGTGTGTGTGTGTGTGTGTGTGTGTGTGTGCACAAGCAACAAGACAAAAGTAAACATATTTGAAATTTAACAAACATCTCTAAAAACAAAGTGTTCTTTTACCTAAGACATTTAATCACCATTGGAACATCCACAGAAAAGGATTCAGCAAATGGCTTCCCATTATCCAGAGTCTCCAGTTCCTGTGAAAATAAATACATGTAAGAATTAAAATATTCCAACTCCAAGCAAAGCCCTCACACCTGAGCAGCACTCCAGTTTTGCAGTGATCAAGAAATACTACTTAGGGCTGTGCAGAATGTTGTTCTGAAACATCAAACTTAATAAACAAAGTAAAAAAAAGGTTACGGCTGTATAAATCAAATGTGTAGTTGCTATTTTACAAATGAAAATCTAAATGATAAAAAAACAGTATAATTAAATGAAAAAGGTTGATAAATTCGATAAATTCCAAAGTTAGGTTGCGGGGGCAGCAGCTAGAGCAGTGAGGCCCAGATATAGACCATCTGTGTTAGTCAATGGCGAGACATTAGATGTGGTTGAACAATTTAAATACCTTGGAGTCATTTTTGATTCCAATCTAAATTTCAAGCAGCATGTAACGAGAATTTCACATATAATTAAACTTAATCTGGCAAACTTCAAACATATAAGACCTTCTCTGACAACAGAATCAGCAAAGTCTTACATGCATGCCATGATCTTCAGCCATATAGCCTATTGTTATACAACATGGTCTCACACTTCAGAGGTCATCATGAAGCCCCTAAAGTCTCTTTTTAAGAAAACACTGAAAATTTTTGACAAAAAGCTTCCACAGTATCATTATTGTAACATCATAAATAAGTACAACATTTTGGATTTTGATAGCTATCAGATTTTTATGGATGCTTGCCTGATTTTTAAAGTTTTAAATGGACTTGCTCCTCCTCCTTTAATGTATTTTATAAGTAAAAAAACAAGTACAGTAAACACAAGAGCACTGACAAGAGGAGATTGTGATGTCCAGCGGCGCAGGACTAAGTTTGGCCAAATGGTGGTGTCCATCAGAGTCGTGGAACACACTGCCAGTTTCCATCAGGAGCTGTGGCACCTACTCCAGCTTTAAAAACTCTTTGAAACTTTGGCTGAAAACTAACCACAAGTGTACTCATGTGTAGATTACTTTGTCTATTTTCTTATGGTATTATATCTTTATTGTAATCTCATGTTGTGTTATGTTCTACAGGTCTTCTCAAAAAATGAGCATATTGTGATAAAGGTCATTATTTTCCATAATGTAATGATAAAA